ACAGACCCACCTGTCCCCCTTTTTATTGAGGGCACCTGCTCCCTAGTCTGCCAGTTTGGGGGCTTTGTCCCCAACCGCCCCGCAATGTTAAAGAAGCGTGTCAGCTACAACAGCCCAACAACATCTAGAGACCTGAGATTCTCAAGGCAGATCTTATCCACCCCACCCTGGCAACATGGACTTTCTTGACCACTTTGGTGACTTTGGCTCCAAACTATCATCTCTATATCATCTAACCAAAATGAAAACACTTCTGCTGGTGCACAAGTGTAGTCATTTTGGTAACAAAAATGATCATTTCAAAACTGCTTTCACAAAGTTGGGAGCATGGAATTGTCTTAACCCTCCTGTTGTCCTCATTTTCTGTATACACCCTGTGTCCTCCGGGTCAAAATGACCCATCTTCACTAAACCCCCAATATAAGCACCTTAATTATATTTTAAACACCAAATTTCATCTTGTATATTGTAATTCACCACAAAATGTGTGAATACTTGAGTTTTCCCTTTCAACTTGAATTTCTATAGTTTAAGAAAAGTAAAAAAAATTGTGCAAAAAGGAGTTTCGAATGCATTTTTATTAATGTCAATGACTCATTTTCTTTTAGAATAGAATAGAATTCAACTTTATTGTCATTGCACTGTCACAAGTACAAGCAACGAAATGCAGTTAGCATCTATCCAGAAGTGCTATACAGGATATAAATATGCATTACAAGTGTACAGAGGGTATGTATAAATAGACTATAAAATGTATGTATAAACAGTATAACAGCATTAACAGTGATTGAGGCTGTAAATGAATATAGACACTATATACATGTATACAACTATACAGAGATGTTACCTGGATCATATAAATATATATATTAGTGGGGTTATAATGTATGGTACAAGTTGACATATTATATACACGGATTGTGAATGCGTGTGAGGAAGCAGTTTGTGGTATGTGTGAGGAGCGTCCATGGTTATTGTTGTGTAGGGGGATGGGAGTACAGTCCTTATAGTTCGTGTCATGAGGCGTTCAGAAGCGTGACAGCTGTGGGGAAGAAGCTGTTCCGGTGCCTGGTGGTTTTAGTCCGTATGCTTCTGTAACGCCTCCCAGAGGGCAGGAGAGAGAATAGTCTGTGTGCAGGGTGAGTGGGGTCCTTGCTGATTTTCTCCAGTGAACAATTTAAGAGAATGTACAATACAAAAATATGAAAAATAACATCACCCATTCAACTAATTAGCACATGTAGGGCAATATGCAACTGCACAGCCTTTGCAGATATATTTCTTACACCTGCAGCACACATTATGTGTTTTACAGTCCTTCTTTTGAGGGCAGAACTGACATATCTTCCTATTGCTTGCCCTTGCTGGGGAAGTGGCTGTGGAAGATGGATCATCAGGTTGATCAGGAGCCGCTGCACTCTGAAGCTTTCACAACTGCTGCGGAGGCTGAGGGCGGACATGCTTCCTTCTTTCAATCAGTGGAGTTACAAGTGCCTTTCCTAGCTGCTCCAGGAACTACCTCCTCGTGTTGTGCTTACGAGACATCCAGGTTGGGTTGATCTCTCTCCAAATCACAAAGGCCTTGTAGGAGGACACATCAATGATGTCGTGGAAGATGACCAGGGGCCAACGTGCAGTCATTCTTCTGTGGCTATATGTTCCAATCACCTTATCTAGGTTGTCCACACCTCCTTTGTTCGGGTTGTATTCCAGCATGATGATTGGCTTCCTGTCCTCAGGATCACTAATGTTGCCGTCTTTGTGCAGTGTGCTCAGAAGAACTACATTCTTGTTTTTCTTTGGGAGGTAGGAAACTAGAGTGGTGGTGGGAGTGAAGGCAAACTTTGAGAAGACCTCTCTCTCCTGACGCAAGCAGTGCAGGTGGGAGCACAGGGTTGTTCTTTCGAACTGTACCAACCATGGTGATCTTCCTCTACAGGAGCTTCTATCTGAAAGAGTTTGAGTGGCATTGTGGCTCGGAAAATTGTCCTTCCACTCTCTGCATCCTATAGACTAGCTGCAGCCTCACCTCAGGACCTGTATACACCTGCTAGGATTAGCAGCCCTAAATAGGCCAGAAGGTCAATCTCGTCCATTTTTTTCCAGCTGTCTCCATATTTGCGAAAACCCTCCAGATTTTGTCATCTCCAGGATTATTTTTTCTATTGCTGGTGCGATAAACTGGTAGAATGTAGAAACAATATCATGCGCATGAGAAATGGCATACCTTGTGGGTCCTGGAGTTATATTTACAATGTTTTGTTCTTCATGCCTGCCGTATTGGTCATATGCTGCTGAGGACCACGTTATTTTGCCAAGTGTCACTTTCATCTTCAGGGTTTACTTCTTCTGAAGATGATTCATCATGCTCTGGGTTGTATTCCTCTCCATCTTCTTCGGATACATCCTCTTCTGAATCAGAGTTGTCTTGCTGGACGTGAGAAAATCACCTCTAAAACCTCTTCAGTGGTGTAACGCACACTGATGGCTTCAGCACAGACACAATTCAGGGTTCTGTTATGCAGGACCTTTATAACCTCTGGAAATAACAGGTGGTCTTCTGAAGTCTGCAAGAATACCACCTGATTTGCCTTGTTTCCTTCTGCTACTGATTAATCTGAGACACAACTAAAACTTTGTAACATTCTGTGGTTTGTAAATAACTCTATGACGTTGATTTCAACTCTATTTGCCTCACGGGTCATTTTGACCCGAAGACCATCTTTGTACCTTTTTTTGTACAGCTCACATGGAAATGTGAATAAAAGCAACATTTAACTTTTTCTATTGTCTAGGCCAATCTAGGAAAAGTCTTAAAGTTTTAAGTCGAAATAATAACATTTAGTGGATTTTTCGGGGGGTTTTAACACAGTGGTGGGTCATTTTGACCCGAGGACAACAGGAGGGTTAAGGACCCTTTTATATTTTACCAGGGTACCTTTCACTGGACACAAGGGGCCATGTCCAACTTCTGAAAGCAGCCCAACCATCATTAAAACCCCAGCAACATGCTGGAGTCAGACAAGTAATTAACCCATCTTCCATTTAAAAAAATCCAAACCCAAAGTAGAATGGTGGTATACGGTGTAACATAACACATAAGAATTTTCATTTGCTTGATGCCTCAGTTTTTGTGAGAATTGGATTTCCATTTTTAATTAAAAAAAAGCTGCATCTCATAGACATGGCATTGGTTTCCCCCAGTAATGTAGCTGTCTCTGCTCTCCCTGCTTGTTCAGCTGTGTTTGAGCAGTTTGAACCAATGCCTTTCTTATTTGAACACAGTTGGGCAGTACATGAGAGCCACTTATCCTTGTTGTATTTCCTACAAAGTTGTTAAAAGGGTTCTAATGTGGCTCAGCACTTAATAGATCAGGCATACAGGTCTTTTGCAATTGAGGTCAGTAGGGTTCCAATCTTGGTCGACTTCTTTTTGTCCTGCATCTGCACCCATTCAGATGATAACATAAAACTATCCCTGCTTGATGTCTTATCTCCAGTAAAACTGTAGAAACTGTAAAAATCAACAAAAGACCAAATTATTGATTTTGGAGGAAACAAAATGTACTTTAAACATCTTGAGGTGATTTTATTTTAAGAAGGATTTTGATCTTTATCAAGCAAGGTAATTCACAAGTCAAGTTGAGCTTTGTCTTTAAGTCAAAGGTATAGTGGAGGATGTTAATTTACTTAATAATACGTTACTCTGTAAAACCCAGATTAATCTGTTGAGTTGCCAGAGAGAAAACATTTATCATATGTCTCCTCCGCTCAAGAATCCAGTGATGCCATGCTTTGCACCACCGTGTCCGATGGTTTGCATTGCGCTTGGTAAATTGAGGCTTGGATGAAGATGCTCAGCCATAGAAATTCCCAAGATTTCCATGCCCTGAATTCAAAGACATGGAAAGGTGACACATTCTTTTAGGGTTATAGTGTGCAGTACGAAACATTTTCTGTTTTGCTATTCTTTAAAAGCCAGAGGTGAAACATTTTCAGCTTATGTAAGCATGTAGCATATTAGAAATTCATTATATTTCCAGAGGCAACAAATCAAGGTAAAAAATTGTGCAAAAAATAATTATTGCTTTCATGATTAAGTTTATTTACTGGCATAAAAGCAATGATGTTATATCATTTGTTTCTTGAAGATAGGTTCAAGCATTAATTATTACAATCACCTTTTAACAGAATTTAAGCGTAACCCATCAAATTAATCGTCAGTGTAACAATGATACAAAAACCTAAGTCTTCAAATCACAGCCCATTCAAACAAAAATGGTTCATTGGTTTTCTTCCTCTGTCTTTTGCCAAGTTAATGACCTTGAAACTTTCTGGATAGTCAGAAAACAATGTCATGCTCACTAAAAACAGAGATAAAGCAGAGGTTCTGCCCCTCACTTAGACAAAAAAAAAAATAAAAAAAAAATTAAATTTACTTATTTTACTGGGCTGCTCTCCATTCCTGTGAGGCACTTTACTGTACTCAACCAAGAGAGGATTAAGAGACAGAGGTTAACAACTGCATAAATCAACTCCTATTTTCACATAAGAGTCCCTTAAGGAGGACTCGGATGAACTTTAAAGGAACGTTTTCATTACAGAGACATCTCTGTGCAGCGACACACAAACGACATGGTGACCTTTAGCTGGACTGAGCTTAGTGATGAGCGAAATTGTCACAATAGCTTCAGAGGGAAAAAGCTGACTGATGTTGCTTCAGAAACAAAGGCCAGTGGCACAGATCGGCTCCCCTTTGAACCATTCAACTGCATGAATAACGAAGCGACCAGAGATTTTTTTTGCAGGACAGAAACACTGATAGCTGCAGGTTTTCAGTCAGCTGCTGTGCATGACAAGTGTGCATGTTTGATTGTTGTCAGATGAGAGGAAAAAGTGATGGAGAGGCTAGGAAAAGGCTGAGCTGTTGGTTTTCAGAAATCTGAGTCAGAAATCAGAGTCAGAAATCTGAAGCTGGACTTCAAACAATTTTCACTTAATTGTATTTTTCATTTCATTGTTTATTTTCATGAAAATTGTGAACATTGAACTTCTAGAATCTATCAACACACTCACAAGGACGCTGCAGGGATCAAGAAACAGGCAAACATCAGACAATCAATACATTTTGTTTAATGTTGAACTAAAAGACAACCTCCCATGCATCACGTTAACATCTATAGAGCTATACATGATTGTTCCTATCATTTCCTAAGGCAGAAATAAATTATTGACAGACTTCAATAAACCGCAAAACATGAATTCGCAATAATTCATTTTTTTTTTTTAATTGAGGAGGTAAGTGAGACACTTTGCCAAAGGAACAAGACAATTTTAGAGGCTGGAAAAGACTTGAAACTGGGGTTTAGGATGATCGATGACCCAATAAAAAAAAAAAAAAAAAAAAAAAAAAAAAAAACAGGCAAAGCTACAAGTAATTGATTATTACTTCTACTTGAAATAATTGTTAAGTGTTATAATGCTTAAGTTGAAGTCCAAACTTAAATCTAATTTGGCAATGTTGCAAAATGTTTAGCATATATGTTCACAGATGATCTCCCAGTTATACAGTTTCAGAGGGGAAAAAAAGTTCAGTCTATTGATGTGCACAGATACAGGCAGGTGTAATGAAAATGAAATTATTGCACAGTAATGTTCTCAAAGGTTTGTATCCTTGCCTAGTGATTTGAATTAGTTCAAATGTCTCCTTGCTGTCATGACCAGCTGAAATGAAGTCTGGACAGAAGTCAAGCTCTGTATATAACTGTAAATTAGAAAAGTATTCTGGATGTGTTCTATATCGACACTAGTGTTAAGATAATCCTTTATTTCAATGGGGCAGCAAGAGCAGTAGGAATGACTTAATGCTATTTATTTAGTCTGGTTACAATATCAAAACACATACTTGTTGTGTTTGTAATACATGGTCACAAATATATTTACAAAATAAAAACATTTGTTGAGATATTTTAGGAATTATCTTCATCATTTTCAAAATGAGTGATGTACAGGTTCAGATCTATGTGACATGGGTGAGTTTTTCTCTCCTTAATTCAGATCAACACTCTGCCATCAGCAAACATGTCCCCAAAAAACCAATCCATCAAGTCCATTGATTTTATTCTTCAGAGGCTCTGTTGCCAGCGCCATTAGTGTCACTGGGGTAATTGTACAATGGGTTGGAGAAGGATAGCTTGGCATCTTTCCAGTTTGAACCCTGCTGTAGATAAATGCACAGAAAGAGAAGTGGATCACATTACTGCCATGTATACAGACAATTAGAGGTCAAAAGCCTCGGCAGAGACATCACCTCCAGCTCTCTTCTCCAGGGGTAGACACTGATTGAAAGCCCAGGACCATTACTCCTTTTGGGGTTAATGTTGGGACAACCGTCTGGACGTTTGTCCTCTGATGGGAGCTGAGGACAAAAAAGAGATAAGATGAGCCCTTATGTGTGAGAGTACTTGGAAACGGCCAGTTAACAGACTGATCAATCATCTTTTTATTATCACATCCTTAAACTCATTGAAATATTTCATTATATTGTTTTTCAGCACCCTAGAAAAAATGCTGAAGTAACAGAGACACAAATTCAGGTTCACACTCTATATTCACTCCACTCTAATAAAAGCTGCGTTTTACGCATAGGATGGAAGCAAAGGTACACAGGTCAGTCAGTATTAATGTACAAAATAAAATACCGTAAAATATATTCATTTTAGCACTGAAGCAGGTTGTGAAGGCAATGAAACGGATATTTTTGCTTGAAAAAACACGTATGCATCTACATTTTAACTACAAACCTTGCTGTAGTAGAAGTTTATTATCTTTTTTGGAATGTAAAAATAACAAAAAATAAAAATAAAACAGAAAAAAAACCTTAAATAAAAATAATGTTTATTCAACAGATAAAGAGAAATCTCTCTTTATCTCTCTTTAATGACGAATTATTATTTCTATTTTTTGATGCTTATGATGCTTGTTTTACGTAAAAGGCTTTATGAGACTCATCAGAAAAAAGACACATCATTTTACTCTATCATAATCATATTAAATATCACGACTGCCGAGGTGCTGTAAATACAATCAAATAATCTGTTATTATTTGATTGGATAAAAATTAGTTTCAACGTGTTTAAACAAACAATATGCTCATTTTCTCTTATCTTCCTGTCTTAATGCTCTCATATAATATATGACTTATGAATCGTCAAGGTCATACATCAGTCATTACAGCAATAGAACGGCTGTGGTTGTATCATCTCCTCTGTGGTGCATCAAACAATAGTAGGAAAGACTACTGAGATTAAAACTGCAGGGAACAAAGCATGCAGTGGGAGAGCAGTAATCATGGCATGATCTGTCTGAGAATAAAATTGTGTTGCTTCGTGCAGATCCTTGAGCCTCTCCTGTTACCTTTTTGTTATAAGAATACTAAACAAAAAAAATAAAAAAAATACCTGAATGGCTGTGTATCTTGTAGTTTGGCAGTGGATCAGACTGGATTTTTATGTCCCTACATGTGTTACACCTTGTGTAGTGAGCAGCCTGTAACACTACATAGGCACTCATAGGAGGCAAAATCAATAATCCTAAATCAAAAACCTAATCAGGCAAAAAGGCCTGACGATCACCTTCTGACCTCCTCTCATGCCGGCTCCCCTTATTGAATAAGTGTGCGACAAAATGGAGGAAAAATTAATTTTGTACAGCTAAGACACCCGAAATGACTTTGCCTGTGATTGATTGGACGTTTCAGCGCACTGACCTCTGCTCCCCAGTCAAAGCTTGGATTATCCATCATGCCATATTTCATTGGGTCATCTTTTCTGTGGACCAAACAAACATAGTAATCATCTTATTCACAAAAAACATTGTCTCATATGTCTAAAAAGAGCCATTTGGACTCACATAAGGCCACATTTTCTCTTGCACAGGGCGAGGAAGCAAACGGCAACTCCAGCTAGGAGCAGCACTAACCCAATGCCGATGCCTGCATACACAGAATCTAGACAACAGAATACATGTGTGGATTTATAATCTATAATGATGTGGATGAGAATGTCTAATGCAGCTGTTGTTAGAAGGTGAATTTCTTTATTACCGAGCTGTGTTGATTCTAGAGTTGGGGATGAAGTGGTGAGAGATGGTTTCTCCCTTACATGGCAGCGATTGCCCGACCATCCAGGCTCACACCTGCAGTCAGTGGCAAAAAGAAGGCCGTACATGCATAAAAGGGATGCTGGTAACACATGTTTCATGTTGCCATAAAAAAAAAACAAAAAAAAAAAAAACTTTAGAACCATTGAAGCAGTGGTAAGGGAAAATACAAACGTCTGTCCCAGTAAGGTGAAAGAGCAACACTCATGGTTTGGGTAGCTTATACAAGTTTCACTTTGTTTTTGTTTTTTTGTCAACCTAAAGCATAACCATTTTATTCCATGTTTACAGAAAACACTAGCAGCAGCTTTACTGCGTATAAATAGCATTAATATATAAAAAATTTAATCTATTTTTCTTGGCACTTGTACATTTCAGAGCAAATAACTGATATATTTTCATGCGAGGTGCAGTTTCTAGCAATGTTTTCCTTAAAGTAAGACGTCCCGGGTTCAAATCCTGGCCTGGGATCTTTCTGCAAGGAATTTGCATTTTTTTCCCCATGCAAAAATATGATTTTTATGTTGACTGGATTCTCTTAATTGTGACTGTGTTTGTATGTGTGTGAGTTGTTATCTATTGCCCTACGAATGGAATGACGCCATGGAAACTGCTGGAGTTAGACACCAGCCTCCGCCATGACTCTACGGACAAGAGGTAGAGAATAGATGGATGGATATTCATGTGGTTAAACAAGTACAAACCAGTGAGCTTCAAATACAATGCCAAATATTCAAGTTCATAATCATGGTACTGAAAATTACTCTTTTTAACAGCTAAAAGGCTCTGCCCTTTTACCCTCCCCTACTCTAGAGAAAGGACTGGGACATCACACCTCTAGTTAACACAGGAAAAGAAGTTAAAAACTGTTTTGCTGGTTTGTGGTGTTTGCTAAATATCTTAAAGCGGTAAATTTGTCAAGTTCCTCTGAATGCATATCTGTTGAGCCTTTCTATTTCTAACATTTTTTTTAATATTTTTTTATGTCTGTTGGACATCCAGCTTGGAAACTCTCTGGAAATATTTTGGCTGCCCTGGCAATGTGCAAGTCTGGGAAACAAAGTGAGCTCTTCCTCTTCCTAACAGAGAGACTCTGCTCCAAGTGAACATCTGTTCAGCATCATCTTGATTTCTAACCCTCCAATGGGAGACACAGCATCCAGTGAAGACAGACGGTGGCATTCTCATTCAGAGGAAGTCAGCGCCCAGATTGTGTGACAGTAGGCTGTTCTTGGCCAGGTTCCCTGGAAGAATATGATGCCGGTCATAAGCCTGAGGTGTCCCCCCAGTGCTGGGCTCAGGATCTACATCAGAACTGTCTTTTATGCAGGAACAGCTTTGTTCGCTCCATACCACAAAGAGCTATGCATGATGGTATGTTGCCCCTACACATAAGGCTCATGGCAAGATAATAATAAAAAAATGCTTTACTAATAAAGGAGGTCTGTTTTTCTTTAGTGATCAACACCTCTTGAGTATCTTTTCAAACAAAAAGTGCGGAGTTGATGGGAGGGTGGGCTAGCTATAGACCAGGTTGGTCTGACCCAGACAGCCCTCAGCTAATTCAGTTAAAAATGCAAAGGCAAGATGCTATCAATACAGCATGATCTAAGACATTTTTAAATGATAAACAATAAAACATGAGAAATGTGAAATATCCAAAAGAAAGTAACCTAGAAGGATATAAGCAGATCATGCAGTAAGCCCAATAACAGGATGTTTTAAAATGAAATCTCCCATCTCTGATATTTCAAACTGCTGATAATTACATACACTCACCGGCCACTTTATTAGGTACCCCATGCTAGTAACGGGTTGGACCCACTTTTGCCTTCAGAACTGCCTCAATTCTTGGTGGCATAGATTCAACAAGGTGCTGGAAGCATTCCTCAGGGAGTTTGGTCCATATTGACATGATGGCATCACACAGTTGCCGCAGATTTGTCGGCTGCACATCCATTATGCGAATCTCCCGTTCCACCACATCCCAAAGATGCTCTATTGGATTGAGATCTGGTGACTGTGGAGGCCATTTGAGTACAGTGAACTCATTGTCATGTTCAAGAAACCAGTCTGAGATGATTCCAGCTTTATGACATGGCGCATTATCCTGCTGAAAGTAGCCATCAGAAGTTGGGTACATTGTGGTCATAAAGGGATGGACATGGTCAGCAACAATACTCAGGTAGGCTGTGGCGTTGCAACGATGCTCAATTGGTACCAAGGGGCCCAAAGAGTGCCAAGAAAATATTCCCCACACCATGACACCACCACCACCAGCCTGAACCGTTGATACAAGGCAGGATGGATCCATGCTTTCATGTTGTAGACGCCAAATTCTGACCCTACCATCCGAATGTCGCAGCAGAAATCGAGACTCATCAGAACAGGCAACGTTTTTCCAATCTTCTATTGTCCAATTTCCATGAGCTTGTGCAAATTGTAGCCTCAGTTTCCTGTTCTTAGCTGAAAGGAGCGGCACCCGGTGTGGCCTTCTGCTGCTGTAGCCCATCTGCCTCAAAGTTCGACGTACTGTGCGTTCAGAGATGCTCTTCTGCCCACCTTGGTTGTAACGGGTGGTTATTTGAGTCACTGTTGCCCTTCTATCAGCTTGAACCAGTCTGGCCATTCTCCTCTGACCTCTGGCATCAACAAGGCATTTCCGCCCACAGAACTGCCGCTCACTGGATGTTTTTTCTTTTTCAGACCATTCTCTGTAAACCCTAGAGATGGTTGTGCGTGAAAATCCCAGTAGATCAGCAGTTTCTGAAATACTCAGACCAGCCCTTCTGGCACCAACAATCATGCCACGTTCAAAGTCACTCAAATCACCTTTCTTCCCCATACTGATGCTCGCTTTGAACTGCAGGAGATTGTCTTGACCATGTCTACATGCCTAAATGCACTGAGGTGCCGCCATGTGATTGGCTGCTTAGAAATTAAGTGTTAACGAGCAGTTGGACAGGTGTACCTAATAAAGTGGCCGGTGAGTGTATAAAACCCATACATGATAAAAACGAAACCTCGATCAAAGTGAATGCAGAATATCACCTGACCTATGGTGCTTTTTTTAAAAGCTAAAATTGAAGAATATAATTCTAATAAATGAGGTTTATGCTATATAATACAACTGGCAGTGCAAACTAAGAGTAAAATCTGACCATACTCTATGTATCAGTTGTTTCCAGGAAACTACTGGATAATTAAAGGCAGAACCATCATGTTTGACCTAGATGGATAGAAGACAAAACTTTTTACAGATTGTTTCTTTTTTGTCATGGAAAAAAAAGAAGTGGCTGACAGGTTTGTCATATTTTAAATTTCACAATAACAATTACAGAGAGAGAAACAGAGAGCAAATTACACAAAACTCTTATTTGTACATGTGTAGAAGTTTGTGTGCTTTAGCTTGCATCTTACAAGCAGACAGGTCCGTGTTCCTTAATATGGCAAAAACCATGATCCTGGCAGTACTTTGGTGGGCATTCTGTAAAAAAAAAAAAAAAAAAATGTATCATTGCATTCCTATCCTATTTGTGAATTGCAATACAAAGATAAAGAAAAAAGTTTTCAGCCATTCACAACAAGAAGTATAACATTAATTATATATACCCTCTGGTGAACTTTGTTATATGCCCTCTTTAGTAGTTCTTCAGACCTCTTAAAGGTATTTAAAAAAGGAAATTAATTTCCTTTTTGCCATTCTTCAATACAGGCCAGATGTTTGCAATCAACAGCTAATAATTTCTCACTCAAGTAGGAGCTCCTTCAGAGAGTCAACGGAGCTTTTCAGTGCCCCACTGATCACTTTTTTCCTTGCCTCGCTTACAGGTGATGGATTCAACAGTATACCAGATGTTTTTCCCTGTTTAATAACATTAACCTGCTTAAAAAATTGTCACAGCTTTTTGCCTGACATATCTGTGTGTTGCTTGGTCTGTGTGATGCTGTTCTCTGTTTTAAACAGAAACTCTGAAGCCAATAACAAAACAGCAGATTTTATACTGAGATTAAATTATATCCAACTGGTCTCCATTTAAATACTTAGGTGATTTTGGTGGACTTTCATTTTGTGGAACAGATGTAAACATGTCTGAATGTTCTGAAATGATTGATTATAAGATTATATAATTAGTATGTATAAAGATCTTTATTTTAATGAAAAAGGGAAAACCATCTGCTAGTTTTCCCCTTTGTTTATAATATGTAAATACAGTAAATTTTTATGCGGTAATGTCACAAATGATGACAAGTTTTATGTGTATGAGAAATGTTTGATGAAAACCCTTGTTAATCACCCAAGCTTAGGAGCCTTTCTTTGCAATACTCATTTATCCTCTGGCTATGATACCCAAGACAATTTAAGAAGCACAATTTACCAGAAAATATGCAGCTGAAATAAATCAGCTCCTCAATTATCAGTTTCCACATAAACCCTTTTGTTACCAGTGTAAAGGTTAGATAAAAAAAAAAAAATTTTTGTTTGTTTTTTCAATAGAACAAGTATGACAGCTTTTACTCTCTGATTATTTGTAATTAAACAATGAAGAATATACAATGTATAGCCTCACCTGAAGTTGCTTTAAAAATCAACTTTAAAAACTAATCTGAAAGTCCTTGGGACAACCCAGGAGACACCTTTGTGTATGTTTCAACATCTTGGCTATAACTCCAAAATTAGTTTATCACTCCATAAAGGGAAATCTGGTAAAATTACAGTGGCTATTATTGTCAATGTAAGACTGGGCGTATGACAGAGCCTTTGGTCATGACATTTTAAAAAAGCTAGTGAGATTTTAAAATTGGCTACTCTTCTTATAACCATGTTATGCAAAGAAATTGCAACACCTGTCTGAAAAGGAAGCAACAAAATAATTAGGTTATGGAAAAAAAAAGAAAGTGAATATATTTGACAAAATTTATCAGAAGGTGAAAGGTAAAAGTTGTGAGTAATCTCACTGATATAGTGAATTTTAAAAAAGCCTCTGCAGCCGAATGTTTTTTGTTTATAATGTATTTGATAGATAAAGAAGGTCTTTTTTTGCCAACACTGCAGGATCAGAGTAGTTTCTGTGCCAAAGAAGAAAGTAATTGCTGAACAACTGGCCAAGATGATAGAAAAAAATTATATAAACTTTTATTTTCATCCAAAGATCATATTATTTGTTCTTTCCTCCACTGGTAGCTATAGGAGCAGGATCAACACTTGAGGTTAAAATTTTGAGACAGTAAGAATTTCTCAAGCCCTTGACTTAAACTGGAGCTTCGATAAACTGATGTAACATTAAATATTTGCTAAACAGGAAAATCTTTATGCAGCTTTACCGATTTTAAATGAGACAGATCTCACCTGAGCGTATGGTCACTGACAAAACAAAGGTGTGTGACCCTTCCTAAGATTATGAAATATGTGAAGAAAATGTGGAAGGATTGACATAAAAGCTTTTAAAGAAGCTAAATGAGACCACCGCTGTTATTACACTAGACAGAAATAGTTACATAAAAATGCACAGCTAATGTAGCCACCTCATCTTGGAGCATGCACAGGCAGAGGTCATTATAATTTTACAGTCGATGCAACCTGTGACATGGCAGGACATGCTGGAGGTAATTAACAGCAAAAAGAAAGCACGTTACCATGGCAGCTGGACTCATCTGAGTGGAACGGGAGACAGTCGGGGGAGCGGTCACATCGCATGTAAAGCGGAATACAACCGGGCCAGCTCTCACATACAAGCTCTCCAGGCTCACACTGCAGCAACGCTGGTGAAAAGATGATGAAACATAAAAAGGATTGAGTGAAGAGAGAAATGTCAAAGCTTTTAATGCCTGAATCATATCTGTTGGCAATTCCTTGTTTACTATTTAGTTTCTGCCTTTCAGACTTAAAGTTCGGTGAAAAAAAGCCTGCAGTAAGTTTTAAATAAAGATTGATGTAAGGATTTAATTCAATTTTTGATCATTTATCAAGCGCCAGTTCAAACATGTTTTTCCAAGACATCTGACCAAAAACAATCAATTTTATCAGATCATACAGATTCTAAATGCAAATAATCCAGGTTGATCCTAGTTTTGAAAATAATATAATCAATCTAAATTTATTACTCCAATATGTTAATCAGTAATCGGATATTTAAAGACAGCAGCAGACTGCATTGCGTCAATGGTTTGTTACTCCTCAAAATATCTTGTCGTAATGTTGGATAGTCAATTGCATGTCATTGACTTTGTTGCAATCTCTCTTTGTGAGTGATCCCTTTAAGCGACAGAAAAAAGAAAAACTCCCTTTAACAGGAATAAACCGCCAGCAGAAGCAGGCTCAGTAAAAGCAAACCCTCTGAGACGACTGACTGGGGAAACAAAAAGAACATAGTAGCACTGATTGAAGGGGGGGTTGGTAAAGAAAATAAATGATCCAAGTGTGACAACTTCTTTTCTTTGTTATTCCTCTAGAAACAGCTACAGTAAAGAAATTCTAAGTATTGCATATGGAATGAAAAGAGCCTATTCAGTCAGACATAGTTAAAACTAAGCCAATATAGCTTGGTATAGCCAAAGCCAAGTTCATCAACGGTAGAACATGAAGCTATCTGCAGCAGTTGTTCAGCCAATGCCTCCTCTGCTTTAGGAAGGAATTACAGCTAAATAGAACAACAGGCCAGATGTACTGTAACTTCTATAAAGAGAAAAATTTGACATTTCTCTAACCTTACACTTCAATCCACTGGATCCCTGCTGAATTTATAATGAAATTAAGAGCTCTTCTAACATTTGAAGGTCTGAATCCTCCTGCTCCATCTTAGTTTAATTAAATTGATTTATTTTGGTTTTCTCTATGGGAGTTTTCCCAGTGCGCCCGTAGTGCAGCTCCGAATATACAGAATATATAGATACACTCACACCAGTTTTTTGTCAATCTGGATCAAAAACCACAGTAATTGGAACGCCATGTCACAATATTGGCGCTGATGTCTGTCTGATTACTCATTTCACTGACCTGCTTATCTCAATCCAGCTCTTATTACTGCTCGTCTGATCCAAATGCTTTGTTCTCTATTTAACCAGCTTTCAGACAAGTCCTCAGTGCCAGATAATTTTTGAGCCATCGTTGAGAAGTATTCGAGCATTCCTGTGTTTCTGACTGCCTGCTCATGACCTGTTCTGCCTCTTAACCACTGAGCCTCATGCTCCGTCTGATCTGTTTGCCTGACCTGTCTATGGACTCCTGGTGGATTTCAGCCTTTCTGTGAACTGAACCTGGAATTGTTTCCCAACTCCATTCTGGATTCTCCCTCAGCACCTCTTTTCACTACTTATCAGCTAGCTCAGACTTCCGAGAACATAATTGACACCGGCAGCCTCACCCTCTAGGCTTGGAATAAACTGTAAGACCAGAGGTTCCTGCCTTAGATGCCAACGCCGCTCACTGCAATTCTGTTTCCAATAAAAGTTTTGAGTAATCTGTTTGTCCGCCTCAAATACTGGTGGACTCCTGGTGGATTTCAGCCTTTCTGTGAACTGAACCTGGAATTGTTTCCCAACTCCATTCTGGATTCTCCCTCAGCACCTCTTTTCACTACTTATCAGCTAGCTCAGACTTCCGAGAACATAATTGACACCGGCAGCCTCACCCTCTAGGCTTGGAATAAACTGTAAGACCAGAGGTTCCTGCCTTAGATGCCAACGCCGCTCACTGCAATTCTGTTTCCAATAAAAGTTTTGAGTAATCTGTTTGTCCGCCTCAAATACTGGATCCCATTGTTCTAAGCTTGACTCTCCAATCATCTGGAATCATGGCTGCCAGAACTTTGTGCTCTATCAGATTATTTTTTGTTTTTCATGGACAAAGTGTATTTGGTACCCCCGTAAAAATTCAAAAAATATCCACTGGACTTGGTTTTCAAGATTTGAAGACGTTTCGCCACCTCTCCAGGAAGCTTTCTCAATTCAAATATCTGGATCCGCAGTGAGTTTGAGTCTTATATAGACACGCCTTGTATCGCTTGGAAACATGCAATGGTAACCGATGAATGGGTCGTTAGTTCCATCGTTAGCCTGTAATATCTGAACCTGTCTATGATTCTAGGGGTCGGTCGTTAAAGGGGGGATTGCCATTAAGGGGGGGGATTGTCTCCTATAATACCTGAAACCTGTCTATGATTGTTAAGGGGTATTTGGTACCTTCCTTGTTTTACTTTCTAACATAAAAGAATCATGTCTAAGTGCTTCTGAATTTAACTGCATCTTTTCCCTGAATGGAACACTTGAAAGGATTGCCACTTTTGTGTAATATTTTTGTTTAGCTTTCCCATATAAAGGGCCCCTGGCCTTTCATTACTAAACCAGGTACTGTTGGGCTTCAAAGGTTGTATTTTTTCTCTCTCTCCACTGTCAAAAAATGCTTGCTCTAAGTGATTTATTGCTGCACATTCACTGACTTCATGCAGTCATGTTGGCTTCTTTAGGTAACCAATCAGCTTTTTACCAGTTATCTATTGATTATTAATGGGCACTCAGTTAAGACCAAGTTAGAATTGGAAGTTTTATTTGCAATGTAAAATACATCTAAGCAGGCAATTCAGAGTTTTACACCCTTAAACACTATTTGGGACTCTTAAGAGCTGACTGGAATGTCGATTAGGAAACAGGAACCTGATGCTTTCTTTAATAATGATCATTTTATTAACAGTTTTGTTTGTGTTTTTATGCACACTTTAAGATCTGAAGGTATATATGTTTGTATCCATATTTTAAAGCAAAACTGTGGTTCCTTTCATCTCTCATAGTGAAAGGTGGGCATGTACTACATCATCATTTTGAAGACATATAAACATTGATTTTTTTTTTTTTTTTTTTTTTTTTTTACATAAAAGCAAGGAATTATTTATAGTTACAGCCAAAGTTTCAATCTCTCTAATGGTCTTCATTTCATGTTTTCATTTTTACAACAGATATCGCATCGTTTTTATGTTCCCCTGAAAAATATTTTCTCAGAGATGGATAAAAAAAAAGATGAAATAGTTAACAGATTCTTATATAGAATAGTCTAGTTGCTTTTGTGTAAAAGGGAAACAAAAAAAATTATAAATCGGGCACATAAATTAAAACTTAAACATTAATACATTTTTGCTCAGTTTAATATTATTAATGCCATACTTTTATACCAAATATTATTTATTTTCTGTTTTTAAACATTCTATGAACACAGAAAAAAAAAACATCTCGTAGTAGGTAAAAAATTACATTAAGAAGATAACTGTTTTAATCATGGTCTACATTTTTTTACAACTAGAAACAAATCCAAAGAGCCAAATTTGACCTTTTATAAACAAGGGAGAAGTGTTGCAAACTTCTTTCCTTCAGCAGACTGACATTGTTCAGCAACAGGTGAAAGGTAAATTACAGGATTGCTCTAAATAGGCTATTCTATATTTCATAAAGGCAACTAATCTTTCAGTTTACATCCAAGCATGATGCAAACTTTGACCAAACTTTTTAAGTTTTAGTAAACATGTAATCCGGCAAGTTGCACCTATTTTATCATGTCAGAACATTTTCAAATAATGCCTTTCCATCTCTTCCTCAGCACATTTTTTTTTTTAAGTCAAAAACCATGTCAAGCTAGCACGACTTAAGCATGTTTAACACTTCTATGAGTTAACTTTAAAGAAATGTGTTCAACTTGAGTTATAACACATAACTTATGACAAAACAGTCTTACTGTAGTGTAACTTCCAAAATGACACCACGTCCATACTTACGGCAGCTGTGTTCATCCTCTCCATTTGGACAGTCATAGACCCCATCACAGCGCAGTAAGGCAGGGAGGCAGCTGAAGTCTGAACACTGAAAACTCTCAGCAGGACAGCCGTCCTGAGGCGGGACGGTCCCCGGCAGGGCTGTTGGGCAGAGCTCTTCATCAGACTGATCTGCACAGTCCGGCAACCCGTCACACCACCAGCTCTTTGAAATGCACTGGAAGGAGTATGCACACTGGAACTGCTCAGGGTCACAGGTCATCGGCTGTGGAGTTACTGGTCCTAGGATGGAATTGAGTGTAAATGTTAAAATTTAGCAAACTTCATCATTGAGTTTTGGCTCACACAAATTAGACATTCTTCACAGAAGAAACTCTGAGTGTTGCTTGAATCAGAAACAGGAATTTTATGATCTGAAAGCCTTGAGAAAGTTGATCGAGGAAGGTGAAGAGTGAGAAGAGAGGTGAGGCTAAGGAAACAACACAATATAAATGTAATTGCTTTTCCTCCAGTTGTGCTACCCCTAAGCATTGACCTGATCTCCAGAGTAAATTTATACAAACCTACAGGCCAACAGGCTCCATTAACTTTCTACCCCTCTCCTTATGGGTTCACGTTGTTTATAAGGAAACTCAGGGAAGAAGTGTAGAACATTAGTGCATAAAAGAAAAAAGAGGAAAAGGTGAAAACTGGAGGAAATGAAAAAGAGGACAGTGGTTGGAGGAGGAGAAATGAGGGGAGAAACAAAACCAAAGAGCAAAAAGGCCAAATAAAGCTTTATAATTCCTTACCTCCAACCATACACTCTGCCGTGTATGAAATGTCATCCAGGGCAATGTCTGTCCACATGTCTCCACCAACTTCCCCCTCGAAGGTAACTCTGAAATCTTCTGTGTTGGACAAAAGGATGTTGGCGTATGTCCACTGGTTTCCATGGTTTCCAGTAGCGGCCCACATAAGCAAAGGTGCCCCACCAGATCCGACTGTATATACCTAGCATGCATGAAGGTTAGAATGTATTGGGTGATTTCTAATATTAAAAATAACCCAACATTAACTGGTGGAAGTGGCCTGTAGATTTTTTTGTTGTTGACAAATAACTGTCCTGCTTTCCTGCCCTCAACATCACTACAGCAGCTGTAGTGATGTAGAGTGCAGGTCTACTACAGCTATTGTAGTTTCCGTGGCTTTCTAAAGACCCCTACTCCCTATGACGTCCAAAGCCAAAATAAAAAACAAATCTTTTTGTCTTTACCTATTATCTTAACAACTAGGATTTTTTAAAAGGGTTGCTTATAAAAGAACTTAGAAATTAGGTGGTACCTGGGGGTGGAGCATCTTGTAGATTGACTGGCCTTAACATAGGACTATCTATTCACAATAAGGAAAATCTTTTTTTTAGTCCACGAATGCAAAGGATAGCTGTGACCGCTGATGGATGGATGGATGGATGGATGGATGGATGGATGGATGGATGGATGGATGGATGGATGGATGGATGGATGGATGGATGGATGGATGGATGGATGGATGGAAAACTGGAAGTAAAGATAGTTTTTTCTTTTCCTTTCATAGATGTCCAGATTTATCCATATTTAAAATAAAATTGATCAGACTTTTCATTTTCAAAAGGTCATTCAGAGACATAAGTGAAAACATGCAGGTTGGATGCATTTTGCATTATGGTCAATGTAACATTTGAACTATGCTTGCAATGAACAATACACTTTTTTTTATAAAGCATTTAAACTGCTGGTATGATGAACCCTGGAACAAAACTGCTGATTCACCGTGTAAGAGCAGCTTTGCACTAAACTATAAATACTCTCCTATTCCTTCCACACATCTACATAGTAAAACTGTTCTTGCAGAGTATTTATATTTACAAAGCTCTTTAACTTTGTAAACTAAGAAACTTTATATCCAATTATGATTCTTATAGCATCTGTTTGTCATTATTTTTGAAGATGAATTTAGGAAAAGCATTGTGCAGAAAAAGAGATTAAACAGTGCAGTGCAGTTTAAAATATGAGGCTCTTCCTGTGAGTATGGATTGACTAAGACTGTAAAATGTGGCAATGCAGTATGTTGAGTCAAACAAAACATAAATGAGTAAAAAACAAAAATCGTGATATTGATAAAATGTCTTTTAATGATTTTCTGAAAGACTGGATCACCTTCAAAGTTCCCATCCTGTGAGAGCCGTTCATGAAGAACCAAAAGCGGAGGCGACATAGACCAATGCTGGCAGGGAAGGGGTTCATTGTGGTCACCTTGGCAACATCCCCCTCCCTCTGTGGGGCTGAGTGTATATACAGAAATTTCCCCCCTCCATCTATGGAGATAGATATAATAAAGACATGTTACATTAATGTATGATAGGACCTAAAGTTTTTACACCAGCAGAGTTCCAGCTCTAATATTAACAAAAACACAATGTTTGGATCAAAGAGGATTGTTGTGAAATGGTGATGCCTCCAGCCGAATGCAGCAGAGTTTCTTCAGCTCGGAGATAAAACAGTCTCTGTGCAAAGCCAGAACAAAGTGGGAGTTTTCCACATGAGTTAGGAGCAATTTAAGGCCATCAAAAACCACAGCGGACAGCAACCCTTCTGCCGCCCACAACGCTTGATTCTCCTGTGGCTCAAAACAAAAACTCCCAAAGACTGCTGTCATAGATCAGCTCTGCAAACATGTTTTCCTTGTTCTCATCTTTACTTATCTGCCCCAATGCAGAGAGAAAGCAATGATGGAGCACATTCATCTTTTCAATCAATAAAACCTGTTGGCCTGTGAAAGCTGATTACACTGACTGCAAAATGTCGGAGCTATGCCTTGAAAGCCTGAGCCCCAAATTTGTAGTGCATGGTATAAAACAACCAGGGGGCTTTTGAACTGAGTGAACAGCATCTACAAAAAAGAATGATTTAACTTTACTGTACATTAACCACAGTAAGGATGTCGCAAATTTTCCTCTAAAAGTTAATTATCCAGCAATTACAATCATAAAAATCTGTTCTGATGTCAGCTAAAGCACTAAGGAAAGAAAAACAAAATTTTTGTGAAGTTTGAGTCTTCATTTGATGAGTAAAAGAAAGCCTCAGCACTGTGCATCCTACCAGCAGCTTTACACAAACATCATAGGAGGAAAACAGAAAATATACATGATTAGAAATAAAATCCTTCCTTTTTTTCTCATGATATAAAATGTGATACTTTTAAGAAGATAGTAGCTGTTACAGCATTATAGCCACCATAATAAAGGGTCTTGCAGAAATTTGTAATATTGTACCACCTTTGAAAGTACGCCAAGGCTGTAAAAAAGTTGGACGAATTACTTATGCTACTGATGTTGAATTAGGAAGGTATGATAAATAAATGCATTTAGTGCTAAAGACCCTTCATGCCAAATTCCCCAACAATCATAAAGAGAGTTGCCCCTTGTGTGCCTGGTTTAAAGGTTAAAGCTCTGTAAGCAGCTGTGTTGACTTAAATTTTGTAAATTCTCCAATTTCAAGAAAAGGATGCCAGTGAGTTTTCATTTAATTCTTTTCAGCCTACCAAAAAATGTGATCATCCTGTCCTTATTGTTTGATTTAGCTCATTCCCTCATCATCTATGCAGAAGACAAAGAAACAAACCAGAAAATACAGCATCTTAAGGAAGAAGAAAGCTGTGTATTTCATTTTCTTACATAGATTAAGGTAACAAACATTTTATTTTACTAAAAATATGTATAAAAAAAAAAGTCTGGCATTTCTGCTTATTATAAACAAGGCCATTTATTTTATTATCTGTTTAACTTCATTCATCTGGATGTTTTTATTAACCCTGCCTTCAGAAGATCTCTGAAGCTGCCACTTTTCAGCTATCAAGTTGAAAGTACAAAGACGCTGGAAGAAAGCTGGACACATTGAGGGTGTCAGGGAAAGGAACTGTTGTTGTTCCTAATTTAGACAAATGATTCTACCTGACAGCATTGTTATTATTTCAAGAAAAAAAGCAAAGGATAATATCTGGTTCTGTCTTGAAACAATATTTGAGTGGATGGCTGATACTGGTGTAACTAAACTCTAAATCAGTTTCAGCAAACTATAGTAGGATGCTTAAGTTCAATTAGCCTGATGAAACAGTTTGGCTACCATTTATCATGTCATTATCAACATTTTTACACAGTGGTAGGAAAAAGTATTTGCTGCCCCAAAGATGTTTTCAATTTTTTACTTTTTTCTTTCAAGTATTTTATAACATCAAACACATTTTAATGTTAGACAAAGATAATCTGTGTAAATATGAAAGGCTGTTACATAACCATTTTATTTTTATAAAAAGCTATCAACACAAACTTCACCCGGTGTGAAAAAAATTATGTTTTCCCCATTATTTGTGTGATTGTACATGTTTTGGACAACAGTGATCACTTTTAGCAGCAACACCCTGTGAAAGTTGTAGGCTGTTTTGCTGCTTCAAATCTAGATAATTTATAGTTTTATTTATAAGAACAATGGATTTTGCTGTCTTATATGGCCAAACCTGAGTCTGGACAAGCATTGATGAAATAAAACACTTTTTCAAAACACGTTGTTTTCATTATTTAAAACATTTAAATGTAAAAAATAATAAAATGAAGGAAATCTTTTAAGGATGTTAACTCCTTTTCAAGGGCTTGTATGTATTTAATCTTGTTTTTACATCAAGTCTTTTTAACATATCCTTATTCTCAGGTTCCCTTCGTTTTAAAAATAAAAGCATTAATTGAATCATGGTAAAACAGCAAACCTGGTGCTTTGGGACAGTTACTCTATATCCAAAAAGCAGCCACAAAACTCAGATCAAACATCTATTTTCTATAACAGATATTTAGAGCTTGGACAATTAAACTTTTAGTTTTATTTGACTTTTTATCCATTTTTTTTTTATTTTACAAGAAAGTGCCCAACAAAATGAGGATGACATCTGAGCATGTGCAGACCTGGACTGTGGTCAGATTGTGGTCCAGCTCCTGTCTCTGTCTTGTGGCCGATCATCCAATCAAAGTCGTCATCGCCGTCCTGAGAAAGCTGGCATCTCTGCTCCCACCTGTCCTCCTTCATGTTGAAGTTACAAGCACCCGGTGAGCCAAATATGTGAGCTAGAAGAAAGGTAGAGGAAAAGGGGGAAAAGATTTTTCTTTGCCATGATAGAATCCTCAACACTGAATGACAAAATGTTGTATTTTTTCTCACCGCAGTCCCACTCATCCGATCCATCAGCACAGTCTGCCTTATTGTCGCACACCAAGTGGGACTCTATGCAATGACCATTTTGACACACAAAGTCTGTGAGTTTAGGACAGTCACCAGGCTCCACAGTGCCTAAAAAAAGAAGGATGAATTTTTTTTTAGCAGAGAGAAACACTAAAAGGCCAGACAGCGGACCAGCCTGTCCCCTGGCTTTGTCTAGTTTCAGGAAGAAGAGGGGAGATAAGAGTTTCTGCCTATTTTTTAATTCCAAAGCAGTCTGCTTTCCAGGCTTAAATTAATTCATGACACATGGCAGTCCTGTTTTATATATATGAGAAAGAAAGAAAGAAAGAAAGAAAGAAAGAAAGAAAGAAAGAAAGAAAGAAAGAAAGAAAGAAAGAAAGAAAGAAAGAAAGAAAGAAAGAAAGAAAGAAAGAAAGAAAGATAGAAAGAAAGAAAGAAAGAAAGAAAGAAAGAAAGAAAGAAAGAAAGAAAGAAAGAAAGAAAGAAAGAAAGAAAGAAAGAAAGAAAGAAAGAAAGAAAGAAAGAAAGAAAGAAAGAAAGAAAGAAAGAAAGAAAGAAAGGATATATCTATGAATGTATGAATGAACAGACAATTGGGAAAATTAAAAGAAAAACAAATAAATGGACTAACGCAAAGATAAATCAGTAGGTGAAGAATTAAACAGATCACCAAATAGTTTTAAAACAGCAATGCAAAATGAATGAATGGATAATGTAAAAATGAATGAATTGACAGATAAATGAAGGAATGAATAGTTGAAGAGTTAACAGGTGGCTGGATTAATGAATTTATAAACAAATGAATAGGAGGGTAGAAAAATAAATGAATAAATGTATGAAATAACAGACAGTGATAAATGGAGGAATTAATTTACTCATTTAGATTACAATGAATGATAAACGGAAAGATGGAATTAGAGGCAAACAAAAACGCAAATGAACACAGGGATGGATAAATGGATATATGAATGAAATTAAGTAATGGAACTAATATGATTAAACATAAAGCATAGTCTAGACTCTGACAATGCTTCTTAAGCAAAATGATAGGCTATTTAGACACCTTTAATGTCTCCAAATCATTTCCACTCCCACCTAGACCTTTGAAACACTTAAATTAAATTCCCTGCCTTTCCAGGTTGAAACCCTTGGAGAAGAAAAAAAGCACAAAACAGCAACATTTTCAACAACAACTTTGTTATTTTCAATAACAAATTAATCAACACTGCATGAAATCTATGATTGGCAAAAAGTTAGACTTCCCGGAGGTTGGCAGGGTTAAAAACATTACAGAGTAAATCAAAAATCCATTTTGGTTTCTATTTGATGTTGATGGAGACTGTATGTTTGAATAATTTGGTTTCTGGGAGACAGATTGTCTGCTTGTCAGTCTTTGCGTACACACCCCTCAGAGTGTTTTGATGTACTTCTCAACTGAACTAGAGGTCAGTATTTATTCCTCCCCCCAAAGTGTGTTTACTGTATGCCTGTGTGCTTCAGAGAGAAACGGCCTTGATGGAGTAGAGAAACATCCCACATGCTGCCCAGCCTCGTGCCAGGTCCATCTTAATTTGGAGCATCTGTCTCGGACACAAACATCAACCATAGCATGACAGCAAAATGTCAGCAATGAAAAATGCTTTCCTTCAACACTCACCAGCTTCTCAGTTTTTAATCTGTTTTCCCTGCATTTCATACCTCAAACTATCATCTGGAACAGCCATTCAATATATTCACTAGATAGATTCATCTTATTCTTCAAGATTAGAAAATATACTTTAAAGCCAGGAAAATAGGTGAAATGAAGTTATCATAGGTTGTCCTGATTCTTTAGAAACCAAATGTCCTGAGGATTTTTAATATTGTTAACATGCAACTTTTGGAATCCATGATCGGTCATGATTGTTTTGTTGCCTTATTAATTTAATTCAAATCTGTTATTTTCCAGAAATGGACAAAGAACAAGAACTGGCTACACAAACTGAATTTTACTTTGGTGCATCCTCGGTCCGATTGCCACCCTCTCAGTGTTTGTTATTATAAACCTTATGTTGTCGGTTCACTTTAGATGACAAAAATGATGTTTTTATTATCCAATGATAATAATGTTCTGTGGTTTTTTCTGTTGCTTCCTGAAATTCCTTACAAATCTCCCTCCATGTTTGGGTCTACTGTTAGACTCTGATAAAGTACTGACATATTAAAGCTACTTTAACATATCCGTATTTTCAAAATTAATTTTCTTTTGTTTGCTATTTTTCTGTGCATGTTTCAGTCCAACAAGTTCTAGTAAACAAACCCTTTTCATGATGGCTACCGCCAAATCACATTTAAACTGTCATGATTTTGAACCTTTAGGTTCTGTTTAAGTATTTCTTTTTGAGTTTTCAGTTACACTTTGATTTATGTCTTTCTGTGTTTCCTAGGTAATTGGTTTAATTTCCAGTATGTGTCAATCTAGTTGTTTTCTGGTTGTATTTGAGTTCTTATGTATATATTGTTTACTCCCTGTTCCTGCCTTTTTTGTCAGTCTTCTTCCACTAGCTCCCTTATAGATCCTTCAGTCCACACCTGCTCCCAATCAGTTGATTACTCCATTCTTTGTTCTGTTTCTGTATTTATACTCCTCCTCTGCAGTTACTGTTTACTGGATTCTCTTCATTTGTTTATTCCCTCCTTCACCTACGTGTTCCCCTTTGCTCTGGTTCCTGTGTTTGGTGATTTCTGGTTTTAAGCTTCTGCTGCCACCATTGGTTATTAAACCTGCAAGAAACCACCTCAGCTTCCATCTCTGCATTTGTGTCCTTTAAAAACCTCCACACAACAACAACAACAAAACCAACTTAGAACATTGAACCATTTTCTATTAATTGTGGTAAATATATGTGTATACAACTAAAACCAGATACTAACATGACGGTATAAAAATTAACCATTTCTTTTTTGCCATCATTACATTATACATCATACATTAAATCAGACTTGTTTGCTTTTTTCAGAATACTGACAGAGAGACGTCTTCAAAATCACTTCCTTAAAATTTTAAATATATTTAAATGAATATGCCCTAAAATAATTTAAGTAAGTGTACAGGAAGATTTTAAAGTTTTATAGCAACAATATCACCTAAATCTTGTAAGTATTTAAGTGGACACTCTAAACATAATGTTTCCTTTTGTGACATCATTAAAAAAAGAAAACAGAGCCAAAATAATAATAAGAGAACTGTGGTGTTCAAAAATCCGGTTAATCCTAGCTTAAAATTTCTTGATGCTTAAGAACAACAGCTGTACGCCAGTATAGTCACATAACACTGTTGGAATGCGTGGTCTTCAAACAATTAAGGAAAGAGACAGTTTCTGTGTCCTCTACATGAACTTGTTTTAGAGGCTAAAGATGTGTCTCAATCCCTGAACAAAAACAAAAGACTTTGACTGAAACTGGAGCATGTTTCATTATCCACAGTGTATCAAGTCTTTTACAGACATTTGAAAGACCACTCAGCATGGAAGAAGCTGTTACTCCAAAAGCAACATGAAAGCCAGATAACAGTTTGCAAAGGCACTCAGAGACAAAGTCCTTTATGAAAGTAAATGTTAGCATTACTGACTGCAGTGTTTTGTCCAGATGATTGATGCTAAAGAGGAAGGAAAAAGACTGAAGCTCATAGGTCCAGGAAGAGAGGTCAGTTGTTGTGTGGGTGTTGTGATGAAAAAAAAATATGGGACCTTGGGTCCAAAAAGTTGAAGTTAAAATACTTAGGTCTTCAAAATGAACAATCATGGCACCTTATTAAGCACAAAATGCTTTAAGCAAAGAACAATTTGAAATGAAAAGGTGAGTGATATGCACCTGCGTCATTTTCTGACACGAACTTTGTTGGAACAAACAATAAATTAGTTTAAAGGTTAAGTTGAATTAAAGCTGCTTAAAAATAGAGGAAGCAAAATAGAGATTTGTATTTCCTTCTATTTTTTAAGCATCTCAAATGCATGTGCTGAAGGGTTGCTGAATACCATTCAATGATCCCTTTCCCAGGTGTCCTTCAAGAGCTACCTTGTCCAGTTTACCAGTTCGGATGGTGAGCATAGAAAAGCTCTCCATAACATTTTGCTCACTGACAGCTCCTACACTTTTAGGAATTACATGTCAAAGAACTTATATAAATAATGCATCCTTGGAAAAACGGAGAAAGAATGTCATTCTCTCAGAAGATCTCAGCATCTATGTTTTTTTGGTTTTGTGTCTGTCAGAGATATTATACAACTGTAAGCACTTACTCGGAGCGCAGTCGATGTATTCCATGTCGTCCAGGGCGGCTCCTCCGCTCAGATCTTTGGAGCGGATCCCCTCGAAAATCACCTCAAAGTTCCTGAGCTTCCTTAGGGGGACCACAACTTGGTTCCAATGGTTCCCTTTATGCCCCGTCTTATTCCACATCTCAATTATGCTGTTCTCAGTCTGTGCAGGACAGATGACAAAAGACACACCATGTGGTGGCATTTCACATTTTGCTCTGGTTATTATAACAAGAGGTTTCAAAGCTCTAGCAGCAATTACTGACAGAAATTCATCCTTCAAACTACAAGTCATGTCACCAGAGAACAGAGCTGAGGAAAAATGGAATAAAAGTATGTTCTTTTGGCAAGTGGATGACTTATTAAAGTGTCATTAACATAACATGGCTAGAATACAGTGCATTGCTGATGGATTTGCTTCATACCACATATGGAAAATATTAAAGACAAATCAGAGTATACCCTTCTGGAAGTTCACTCAGTCTTTTCCCATGCTGCTGTTGCTCAGACTCTAAATCATGGTTAATGCTGCTTTAAAACTGCTAACGGGAATGCTCTCCATAAGCCATCACCTCACCAGAGGCTTTCAATATATATAAACAATATACTGACACATTTTCAATATAAATACACTGTTCTGGCCTCTTGGCTTACTCAATTCAGAGCAAATAAAGAGACAGCAATAAAGTTGTATTGCTATACTCATTTTGTAAAAATATTACATATATTGTAATAATATTACATTTCTGCCTACAGTTAAATAAGATATCCTTTGTTAAAAAAAGATTTCTACCCACCACCAAACTCATTTTACATCTTTCATTAGACTCCACATCAGAAAGCCAAGATGACACCATCAGAAGTTGGATGGTCTTTTTAGTCAAGGTTAGTGCCCAAAGTATCACTGACTTTAACACCTCCCTAAGTCTCTCTCTCTGGTCACTAACCTATAATCTCTACCTCCTGTGGTTCCTGTTGCTGATGCTGGTGATTCAACCTGCTGCAGTTTACATTACAATAAACGGTTTTAAGCTATCTGATCTTGTCTGGCTGAATTCTGGGTCCTTTGTTTCTGCTCGCTACATAACCAGCTAATCTCTTTTATGACTAGACCTACATTATGACAGTTGTATCTGACCTGGTGTGGCTAACATTTAGAACAGAAAATGACACATATAAAATCATCTCAATGATGGTCTCATTTATCAAGTTAACACACAGCTGCAAATCTATTTAACTGTACAATTGTTTCTAGGTTACTGTTTTTGTCTAGGTTCAACACTAGAATTTTACATTAATATCAAAATGGCATTAACTTTCTACAAATACGTTTATCTTTTTTTTAAAATCAGCATCATCTATCTCTTGGTTGGTTACAGGCTGCGGACTCTTTACGTCAGCTATATGTCGACACATTTTGTTTTAAAAATCCTAGTAAAGAGTGGGGCTTGTGTTACAAAACAATACCCTATATGATTGGTCAACCACACTTCCTCAGCATTGAGTGTTGTCTTACCCCCAACATGGCAGGTAGATTTGACAGTTTAACCCACAAATCGTAAAAGTTAACTGCATTTAGCGGATTGAAGTGACAGCGAGAGCCAAAACTGGTTCTGGCATGCACATTTTTTAAAATGATATATGCCATTTGGGAACCTGCAAATGCCACTTTTGGCTATAGGTGCTCCTGGCGCATTGCCAGGTGCCAATTTCATGCCCTGGTCAGAGGTAAACCTCTGCAAAGCAGAACCAGAGGACTCTGAACAGTCCCTGACTATCACAAAGGACATTATTGGCTACCCTAAGAATTTTATTTTTTGTAAATCCAGCTTTAAGGTACATACTGTAATTAGTTTTAGTAGTGTGAAACTTTGAGTGAATGCAGACAGCAACACAGAGTTTAAAAGACAATATTTTATATTAGTTGAATTTAAAGTTGCAAGAAATGAGCATAGTCTTGTCTGCAGTGAGCAGAGCTCTAGTCTAATTTACTGAAAAAAACACAGAGGACGAACAAAGTCACATTCTACTCCTCCACTGTAAGGTATATTGAAATGCACCCATGGCTTGCACAGGCTGTCCCCTCTGCTCTGACGCCCTAGATTCAAAATAATCTTGTTACTCCAAGACAGATTAATAGGTAGAGTAACAGCAGGCTGTATTAAGATTTATGTCAGGAAGTAATGACTCAATCTGTAAAAGCAGTCATAGAGCAACATACAAATTTGCCTTGATAGCTCTGACTTTGCTTTTTTGGCATATAAACTTGATTAGTTTGTTTGATTTGTTTTGGATCTTGTTATCAGGACCTTTCAGTCCTGGCACTGCAAACAAAAATTTAGGATTGAGTGCAAATATGTTGCAGTTGTGAACTTATTCTGATGGATGACAAGACAATGCTAAAACTGAAATAATATTCAATTCAGAGACCATTGTGTTAATGTTAAATCACTGAGAATATACTACCCGACTTTGTTTACTTGATAATATAATCTTTTTAACAATGATTTTTATTTAATCAGCGGTTTCCTGCGTCATTGATTATGGTGAGAGAATCTTCTCTCAGGCTATCACACGCTTGGCTCTAAATGGAGATGATATTTTGGCGAGATCTGATAACATTATGTTAGGAATCCAGTTTGTGTGGTTCGGGCTTTTGTTTGTCTTCCCTCCTCCACCAGGCGGTGCCTGGTTCTCGTTGGCCTCCTCACACACCTGCGGATAGTTACCTCATTACCGGAGGACTTTTATGCTTCTGACTGCCACTACCTCGACACCAGAGTGTTTGCCAGTTTTGGGTACTCTAGCCAAGCTGAGTTTTGTTGAGTCAAACTGAGTTTTTGTCAACCTGAGTTTTAACCTTGCTGTTTTTGTCTTTGTCTCTCGGCAGGAAGTCATCCTGCAAACTGGATGTTTTGGACCTTCTCCCCCCTGGAAGGATTCTCTGAGCATCAAACTGAGCTGAGGATTCAAGCTAGTGGTTTGGATCTACTTTTCCCCAAGGATTGTTTGGGCGTCTCTCTGAGCAGGGGATTAATCTTCACAAGAAACCTTTCAAGTACCGCAGGAAAACTAAGTGGCAGTCAGCTCCTCCATTCCTCAAGGAAACACCTCAACCTGGTTAAACCCTGTCCGCCCTCGAACGAGCAAGTCACTGGAACAACCCACACCGACTGGATTCAACAAGAGACACCTTTTTCTGGAAACGTGAGTCCTGTTGCCTTAATTCCCTTCTTCAAATCAAAGACACAAATTTCCCACTGAGCCTGAACTAACCGCAGAATCTTCCCCTTCACTTTTCAGTCCCGGTTCGACAGTGTTCAGAGCAGCACTGGACTCCTCTCAACCTACTCTCAATAAAACCTGTTAAACTTTTCCCTGGTCTCTTTGTTTGGTCTTCTGCATGCGGTTCAGATCTTTAGATAAAATCATGACACATTAATTCACAAACTCCCAAAAATACATCTAGCCAGAAGCCAATATATGCATTAATCTTGAATATCCAACCAATGAAAACCTGAGATGTGTATGATGTCAACCAGCAGCGGTCTAAAGAAAAACAAGCATGGCTGTGCCAGTGGACGCAGACTCCGCTATGTAGTCTGCTTTAGCTGGAGCAAACAAGCACCATTTGTTCCTTTATGGATGGGAAAGACGTTTTCATGTTATTCCCGACCAGATTTGGCAAGAGTTAGATTTATCATTTAACCCTGCTAGTTGTGAAACAAATCTAAAGCTGCAGAGGGATCCTGTTGTTACTGGCATTTCTGCTGTAAAACTTGGCGGCAATGACAAAAAAGTAATCGGTAGCGATTACCAGCTGGTATTTGGGAGCCTGGAGTCAGGGCTGCTCAATTCTATATGGAACAACATGCTTTCATCCTTGAACCAGTAAAACATTGTTGGAATCATTGTGGATGAAGTAAATGTCACATAAAAATGGTAAGTGAACATGAATACATGTTTGTGTACAAATGATACATCACAGCCAATTACTACTGCTACAATTGGCTAAAAGCTTAACATGGGAGGCTGGTGCCTCTTGGTAATTTACCCCACCAGCTTGAAAAATGATACTAAATCATCCTTCCTTTTGCAAACACTTTCCACAGGAGATCTTCTAAAGATGGATACTGTGTAGAATTTAAATTGAACAATAAACCTATAAATCTGGCTTGTGCCAGGTTATCTAAAAAATGCCAGCTCACTAAAAACTTTAAACCTGAGTAAATATACAAAGATGCAGACTATTTATTATATCATTGTTAAAAGGACTGGCTTATTTATAAGGCATGTCTTTGGTAGGGAAGATGAATTTACAAAACATCCCCTAAAAAAACTATTAAAATTTCTGAAATAATTTGTAAGTCATGGCATATTCAATTGGTGATGCAGGTCCTTGTTAAACTAATGATATGCCTTTGAGTTTTCCACCTTTTGTCAGACTAGAACCACAAACTTCCATCAGTATTTAATGTGATAGATCAACATAAAATGTTACAGTGGGAATTTAAACTGTCATGAAAAGTACAGCTTTCAGATGTAGCCTGCAGCCCAAATTTATGGAGTCATTTCACCCTTTCATGCACACTTAAAGAAGTATGCATCTTGATATAGTGAAATTTATGACTTTTTATCTTTTTAACATATTTTAAGTTCAGACAGATTGAATAGAGAGGTTTTTATGTTTTGCCACAAATCCTTCCATGGATTTGGGTCTACACTGAGCCATTCTGATACATTAGTAAGCTTTGATCTCAACCATTAGCTTTCTACAGGGGCCGTATGTTTACCGTCTGTCCTACAGAAGGTGATCCTCCATCTTAGTTTTAAGCGTTTTGCAGCTTCTAAGAGGGATTGTCCAGTATCCATCTTTGCTGCTACAACAAAGCATTGAGATGGTTTGCTATGTTTGTTTTACTCCAAATAAAGAGAAAATAAACAATACACGATTAATACACAAGTCAGACCTGAAGGAATTTTACCCCACAAATTTTGTAGTGTGAAAACATAAAGCTTTTTTAATTTTTTTCATCCACGTTTACTCCCTCACTAATACAGCTAAACACTACAAGAAGCACCAATATAGAACTGATATGATTTGGAACACAAGCAGACCACTGATGGCTACATAAATGATTGGATTTTCTCAGATGTTGTGAG